GCTCTGTGCCTTCCTCTGCTGCCAGCGCTCTGTCCTGTTTTCACTGGGCTGGAATCTCATCCCTCTGGTATGAATCTCAGTTGATTACACTGGAAAGCTTCTGGATTAAGATGGTGTTACTAAGAGCAGCATGTGGTCCCCTTTACAAATCACTGTTTTTTATTGAACCCAACAGAATTTTGACTGTATTAAGAGTCCCAGTTAAGCAAAGTACTGAAGCACCATGGCTTGTATAGGCACATGGATAGCTCAGCCAAAGTCAGTGGGGCTACTTGCACATGTGAAACAAGGAACAGGTTTAGGAGTCTTGTTGAATCTGCAGAATTTGGTCATTGGCTTTTATCTTACTTGTCTTAAGTAAGTGCACAATCCAGCTGGTTCCCATTCTTCTTTAATTTACACAAGTAAAGATTGAGGTCATCTCCTTTGAAGTCGGATGGCCTTGAATCTGACCCCAGGTCAGATTCTGATCTTAACTACTCTGTTTTAATCCAGAAGTAACTCCACAGAATTCAGTAGATTTATACCAGGCTATAGATGAGAAACTGGTCCAAATTCTGTTAAACAAGAAGAGAACAAGTGTATATGTATGTCCACTAATCCTACAATCATGGCTAGCACCAATGACACTTCTATGCTCCAAAGACAATCAGGGCTATCTATAAAATTTTCATGGGGCATGTGTTTGATATATTTTAGTGAACAGCATTGACGTCTTCAGTTAAACATATTTCAGAATATATTTATAGTTCGTCAAATAATTCATACATTTGAAATGGAGCCATATGAATGTTGGTAGTTTAAAATTGATATATCTATAAACTACTAACGGTTTGTAAAATAAATATATATAGATCTATGAATGTTAATTTCGCCTATCAGTTTCAAGCAGCCATATATTTTTTCACTTGTATTGGAATTGTATGAAATGTGACATTACACTATATGCACTAGCAATAAAAGTGACTAATTGTTTCATGCTACAAAAACCCTATTGTATGTGGGAATTTATTTTTCATTTTTTTTGGTAAATTGCTTAAATTAAATCCAAATGTCAATGTTTCTTATTCTTTGTTGGTGCTTAGGTATTTTTATCATATAATATTGTAGGTGTTGGGAAGAAAAAGTTTTCAAATTACATTATTGGAATTATTGCTTTGATTGTGAAATCAAAGATGGTTTTTAGTAGAAAAGCTTTTTGCTTACTCATTCTGCTTACCTTTATTGTGGCTTTATATTAATCGTAGCCTCATGGAACACACACAGGGCGCTTCTACACGTTCATTAATACGCCTTAGATACTACACATATAGCTTAGTATTTCTTTAATAAAGTACTAACTAAATGCGAATGGTTATGTAATGACACTTACTGCGCATTAACCTAATAACATTGCTCAGTAGGCTATTGGCATGGTTTTTGCTGTGACATGCTACTGTGCAGTGTTATTAGGCTAATGCACAATAAGTAACTTGTGTAGATGTGCCCACAGTTAGGTGTAATCAGTAAAATGTATTAAAACAATTGGGAAGTGGGAGTCCAGATCCTCTAAGTTTCTTTAAAAAATTGTGACATAACCATTGCAGACATCATCATTCAATCCACAGCCACTGTTATAGACACAGAGCAATTTATTCCTTTCATGAAGCTGGTAACAAATCATATTTCACTTTCAAATAGTCCTAGTAATAACTTACAGGATCAGTCCTGACAATCCTTCACTTTCCTCCTTAGTCAAGTAAAGATTTACAAAATTAAGCCTTCCAGAAAGAGGCAGATGTAAGAATAAACAGAGATCAGAGCCTGTTCCTCATTTGTCCATTGTCAAGTTAGTGTAGACCAAAATCCAAAGCCTATTTAAGCCTGAGATGTTGGAACTCATTAAACTCAGCTGTCAGTCTTGGCACAGGAAAGAAAGCTGATGGATTTGGCAAAGATGATTTTAAAAAAACCCAGAAAAGGACTCACCCTGAGTAGACTGCTGGAAGGGAAAGGTAATTTGTCTTTGAATGGTCAGTTGTAATAGAAGCAAAGGATTTCTGTGTTATTTTTAATCCTCTAAATCAATTAGTGGCAGCTTTTTCTTTCTGATTGCCCTTATCTGTAAATAATAACTGTGTACAATCCACTGCAGTGAATATCCTCCCATGTTCCACTGAGCCCTTCCTGTATTTGTGTCACATAAGGCCCATTTTTTCAAGGTGCAGAGTGCTCAGAATTTCCATTGAAGGGACCCATAACTCCCTTTCACTTCAATAGGAGCAGTGAATGCAAAATCAAATGACTGACCTCCCTGCCTTGGTTCCCTGCCGAATCTATTTGAAATGCTCTTAAAAACTCCTTAATTTTAATTTTGTCAGAATCTTGACCCTTCTAAAAAATAAACAGCAGCAGTAACATGCCCTATTAGGCCCATGCAAGTGTGTTTACACTTTTGGAAGCAAAGATGGTTTAGTGATTAGGACATTAATCTATGATTAGGGAGACCTACGGCTGACGCTCTAACCTGTCACTGACTTCCTATTTGATCTTGGGCAAGTCCCTGTTCTTCAGTTTCTTACCAGTAAAATAGGACTAAGAACACTTTCCTAGTTCAGAAGGATTTTTGAGGATAAATGCATTAACTACAGTGAGGTACTCAGGACAGGTACATGCTATAGGTCGAGAGTCAAGGAATTGTGTTCTGATTGTATTTACACCAGTGTAAAACTGGGATAATGGTATTAAGTGCCATTACATCAAGGATGAACTGTGGCCCTGCAGATCTAATATTAGAGCACTCATGACCCAGGGAGACTAGCTGACATATGCTTAAAGAGCCCTTGTTGTATTTGTACTGGTCATTAATTAAAGCGATTCATTGGGCATCCCCCTTACCTGAATAGGATTCCCAGAGAGGTGGTACTCTCACCTTCCCTGGAAATCTTCAAGAGGAGACTGGATAGGCACCTGGCTGGGGTCTTATGACCCCTCCCACCCCCAGTGCTCATTCCTGCCCGTGGCAGGGGGTCGGATTCGATGATCTGTCTAGGTCCCTTCCGATTCTATGAGTCTATGATTCTATTGTCTTCATGAAAAAAAGGTGAGAAAAGCTCAGCTAAAAGTCACAAAGACAATTTGTCCAGGAGTTCCTCATTACACTGCGGGCACATCTATATATGCCATTAATGTGAAGCAATAAACAGAAGAGCTTATTGCTCTGCGGTTTATTGTTCCCAGGAAGCTCTCAGCATGCTGTTTACATGTATGCCTGGACTGTAGCGCATTGAGCTGGGTCAGAGCTGCCCTGGTTGGCCGGGGGCCCAGGGGCTCAACCTGCCAGCCCAGGGCTGCTGCAATCAGGCTCAGTTTGCTGCAGGGGTGCTGGCTGGGGCACAAGGGTGCCGACAGGCTACTCCAAAACTGAAGCACCCTTGTGCCTCACCCAGCCAGTCAACATTTACACGTGCGCTGCTGCACATGCAAAAACACTGCAGCAAGGTAGTACTTGTATTTACTTGTATTTACAAGTACTACCTTGCTCCAGAATTTATTAGTTTCCTGAGCCCTAATAGGGGCGTACATGTAGATGCTGAGACATTTACTGCACAGTTAATTAGTCCCTTGTGCAGTAAATATCTCATGTAGACCCCCCCTGTTAGTGGTAAGAAAGTGCAGAGTATGCTGTGTTTTATCTTAACGGGCAAGAGGGTCTGGGGATTCCACACTGTTAAATGGAGAGCCAACTTTCTGCAGTGGCATATCCTAAAAATATGGGCCATTTGTTAGTGAAATAACAGCAATCCCATGTGAAACCCCAGGGAACATTCACATGACTGGGATTTCCTAATTTGCACTGTGTACAGTTACGTGAAATAACACATTTCATCTTTGTTCTTAAAAAAATATAAAGCTTTTAAGTGCTCTGTAGAGTTTGTATTGCACTTAAAATATTGCAAAGAGGCAAATAATAGCATTGTGCTTTGTATTTATAGAGTACCTTCCAGCTATTAACTGCTTCATTTGCATAATATCCTTTTGAAGTTGGGTACTATCCTCCTGTTTTCTAGATGGGGATACTGAGGCACAAGCATGGACAAGTGAACCTCACAAGGAGCCATAGTTAAAGCCAGGATAAAGATTCAGCAACTTCTGGCCCCAGTCATATGCTTCATGCTTTGTCCATGTGATAAGAAAAGGTGGCAGAGTTAAGTAACTAGCCACATCTCTGGATTTTTTCCATCGATAATTTCAATGGCAAAAACACTTGTGGGTGTGGCAATGTAGATATTTACTTTGGCTAACAGTTGGCCTATTAAGAAAATGTCACTTGTTTTGTTGGAACTAGTAGATTAGGCTGAAATAAGCTAAAATTGGAAGAGAACTGTGTTTTCCATGATAAAGTCATGATCCAGTTTCCATTTTATGATCAAGATATAGAGGCAACAATTTTACTCCCCACTTTGATGCATGTATGGAGCTGGGATTTTCAGTTCTAAAGAGAGTGGAATATTGGGCCTACAATCTTGTGTCTTTTTGCAGAGAATATTTTCATTAATGTTTAGCAAAACTGTCGTGGTCAGGTGACTGTTTGAGGCTACTGCTCACTGGGTGGGCCAAGAGGGCTTCTGAGGGATCCTGGTGCCAGCTACACAGTTAAAATTGGATTTTAGCCCATCTTTTCCTTCCTTTCCCCATTTTTTCTTCACTGCATATCCCTGCCCACTGGTACTAGCTGCTTAGCCTGCATTATCTCTGAACACCTTACTAATTGTGATTGGCATCAACTACCAAAATAACCACTGTTGCTGGACTCCGTCTTCAGGGTCCCAACAGCTCCTTTTGGAGGACATCATGGAACAGTTTTGCAAATAGTGGTTGGAGGGTTTGCAAAAGAATTGCCTTTGGTTTACAGTCTTGACACAGATTATTCACAACCCTTATTTGAGTAGAATTGATAATGAAGATCTTTTCCTCCGAAATAAACCTTAATAGTATTTCACTCTGTTCTTCATCAACAGGAGGTTCAAGATGTAAGAGGCAAGCATTGTAAGCCGTCTGCAGGATTTCTTACTGTAGGACCAGAGAACAGATAACCAGTATTAGGGAATGAATACATTTCACTGTTATCATGCAGCACAAAGGCAAGGCTCCATGCATTTCCAAAGGCGCTTTTTTTGCACAAATTGGCTTGCTTTCCCAGTACTATTTTATGTAGTAAGATATGTTTGTTTTTAAGAAAAAACTTTTTATACAGTTTTGTTTATCATAAAGCACTGGTGGCAAATATGAATTTAGACTAACCCTACATGACTGTTTCTGTCTTTGATAATAGAGGCCCTGCACTAATTAGCAGTCACTTCTGGTTCATGCCGACTTCCAGGAGATTTTACCTAGCAGGTCATGAGGTGTGAAGTGCACTTAGATTATATAAGTATACTGCAGGAATCAGAGCCACAAGAAGTCATTTCAGCCAAGACCACAGGAAGATTCTTAAGTGGACTGGACATGTGTATGAAAAGCATCCAGGCTTATATTGATGACCACCATTTTGGAAGGTGTTAAGCCTTATGCTTAAGTTTCTGCACTACAGTCTTTCTCTAATGTTAGAGATCAGGATGAACCCCACGTGGGAGTAGATTTGTTCTTTTATGTCTTACAACCTTCTACTGAAGTGGCTGATGCTGATCCCTGCCAGAGACAGAACACAAGTCTGATCTAGTCTGACTGTTCCTATGTTCCCAATGACTTAACATAAAAAGAAATGGGCTTTCCTGTTTCCGTATGCCAAACTGTTTTCCAGGCCTACATTAGAGAAAAGGGTACAGGAGAGGAACATTATTGCCTATATTTGCACAGCAGAGATGGGTTTCTTCTAAGTGCACATTCAGTCAAGCATTCACTGTTCACAGGTGGGGAGATGCCTGTTTGCTGATGGTATGATCTAGTATCTAGAGCCACGGTTCCCTAACTGTGAGTCATGACTCCAAATGGGGTCACAACATCAGCAGATGGGATTGCAGGGGTAGGGGACTGTGGGTTGGGAGTGAGGGGTCATGCTGAGGAAATGGGGCCATAAATGGGGTCATGCTGAGGAAAAGTTTGGAAACACTGATCTAGAGCTCCATTTGCACAAGGGCATCACGCAGGGCAGAGAAACACCACCTCTTGCAACCCCTATGAAGCCTGTTATTTCTTCCCTGATTTGCACCTCTATAACCATTTACAAAAGTGTATAAAATATAAAGCATAAGGAAATAGCATCTCAGAGGCCCTGCAATCTTTTGATTACACTGCACATTGAGGAATGGGGAAAGCACGTCTTGTGAATGCAGTGTTTAGCAAAATACTTGTATGTGTGCGTGCTGTAAAAAATGTCCAATGTTGCTTCTATGTATTGAGGCAGATTTCTTCAGAAGGAATGTACTACACATGCAGCCTATATTCTGTGCAAGGGCAAGAGTTGTTTTGCTTTGCAGTCCTCTGTTGCAAGTAACTTCAGTGCCAAAGAGAGTCTGTCCAATTCCAGACTGCTTTATTTTCTACTTCAGTCAACATGGCCAGTTAAGTATTGTTTTTCCTGAAAAAAGATGTTGCTTCTGTTATGGCCATGTCATCCTATTGGCTTTTAAGCAGAAATTAATTAGAAGCTCTGCCCAAAAATTAAGAACATGATTATCACCCCTGCTCCACCCCTTTTTGTCTTGTGCACCATTAAATAACATGATCCTGTTATTTGTGGAAAGGCAGGAAGAACTCATGGGACCAAGATATTCATTAAATAACTCATTTTCCGTGTTGCTTATTTTATCTCAGGTCCAGATGCTTTCTTTGTACAGGCATCTGTAATTGTCGTTGACTTGCCTGGAAATGAATGCAACAGTTTCAGAGGCAAGAATTACTCTGGGGAGGGTGTATAGGAATGCTTGTTTTAGCACACAATTTTAATCTGTCTTGCTCACAAGCTGGAAAGTGGACTCCTCACACACTCCTTCTAAACCTTTATTGGGGTCCATTTAGAATGAAATAGGCTTTTGAGTCAGAACTAGAAACCTATGTTATAAATTTCAGGAGTGGCTAAGGTGGTTTGGGATTAAGAGATGATATTAAAATCACCAGTGTTCCTTTAAAAGGGATCCTCATGGAAGGCAAAACAGCAGTTCTGCTTCTTTAAACAGCTCACAGTGTGAGGAGCCTTGTGACATAACATAAGACAGAGAACACTGAGTTTAACTCTTAACCATGCTGCCTCCCTCCTTAAACCATGTTAGCTTTGCACTAAACATAACATGTATTTCTTGTGTGGTGCTTAAGGCCCTGATTCTGCAACTGGAACTAGAGGTACAAATAAATGACTGCCTGAAGCCCCACTTGGGAAAGCGGTGGTTGGGGGGCAGGTATGGAGGAGGGGAAGGTTATCTTTCTGCACCAGATCCACCTGCAGGATGAGGGCTGAAGGCATTACAACTCATCTCTTATGCTCATTGTGGGCTGGACTGGGCAGTGCACTCAGAACCTGTGGTGGTGGCTGGTTGTGATCTCCCCTGGGGACCCTGGTAAAAGTGCTGAAATGGTGCCATTGCCTGGATTTTCCTGAATATCCCAGCCAAATCCTCCTTTGGGGCACCCCTACAAGGAACAGTGTTTGCTATGGTCTGGGTCACCCTCAGAGTTTCAGCTACTGGAATGACTAGGCAAGACTAGTGCAGGTCACACTGGTAGAAGGACATGCCTCACTTGGAGCAGTCTCCACATTAGATAAGGAAGCAGATGTTTGGCAGGGGAAAACAGTAACAGTCCACAGCCAGAGATTCACTGGGGTATCTTGCAGGTCATTTCTTCCTTGACTATTGAATATCTGCCTGCACTATTACTTGACTGTCTTTCAGTATGGACCAGATCCTGCAGCACTTACTTTTGCAAATCCTTGTTACTTGCATAACTAATGCTGTTGAAATGAATGGGGATATTCACAGGTGGCCTGGTTCCCTCCACCCTTGCCCTACAGTAAGAGTTGACTGAGCCAGTATCTCTGCTGACCTGAATGCAGAGTGGATATGGTGCAGAGTTGTTGGTTGTAGGCTTGTTGGTCTAAGGACATAGGCAGGCAAGGTTCTTTGAGTAGATGTGATATCTTTTATGTAGTTGGTCTAATAAAAGATACCACATCTACCCAAAGAACCCTGCCTGCTTGAGTGGATACGGTGGAGCTGATTGTCTTCTTAGTAACTTAGGAGTTTGGAATGTCAGGTGTAGAGCTGGGGCCTCACTATAGACCAACATTTAATCTCTGCCAGTACCTATCTGAACAGAGGACTTTGTTGTTTGCCTACTTCTATCTGCATCAGGAACATTGATCAGGAATCAAGTGACAGAGACACTATTTACACTAGAAAAATAATTGCCATACAATGTAAAGCTTCTTGCACTATTATTTAAATTGTGCTTCATTTCGTAGTCCTTTAAGACTGAAGTTGATGACCGGGGGGAGGGGGGAGTCCATCCCATGTGTGTGTTTCTGTGTTCCCATGTCTTGTTTCAATCTTAGCAAGATATAACACAACAGTTACATGAACCCAGTCCACAAAGAAGGATTTGTGGTATGCTTTGCTTTATACATTTAACAGGTGACCGACAAGAAATTCAGGGAAAGGAAACAGTAGAATACAAGATTAAGGCAGTGGCCATACTTCAATGTGAAGAGGAAGGGAACCAAACATTGAAATGACACAAAAAGTGCATTTTCTGTAGATGTGAAATCCTCACACGTGGATATTTTAAATTACAGCCATAGGCTTCCGTATAAAAAAAAATAAGAAGGAAAGAAAATATGGTCTTTATCACTGTACCAAAAGCCATGTTTATATTCATTTTATAATTGTTATAGCTTTTGACATTATTTGAATTCTGCTTGAGGAAGAATGAAGGGTAAATTTTCAATATGTTGCTAACAAGTGTGGTGTTTGAGCTTGTTGGTCTTTGGTAATGAAGGCTGTGTTACAAGATGAATGTATATGTTTGAATGAAGTTCTGTATAATTCCATTTTGCTCTTTTGCCTTGTTGCAAACTCTAACAATCCCTCTTCTCCAAAATCTTTTTATTGATATATGTTATTTACAGTAACCAGATACTTATGAGCACTTATTACCAAAATAAGCTTTTTCTTCAAACAATCCAATTACATAACAACCTTGTTTGTAAGTACAAAGCTTCAATGACACCCAAAGAAGGAGGTATATGTTGTCAGAATAGAAAGGCTATGTGTCTTCCATTTTCTATTCATTGAAAACTCAGTGTTGTTGTAATGTGGTAAATACTGTATTTTATGTTTCTGTTAAAGAAAAAAAATCTCTTCCCAGATAATGTGAAAAAAAGGTTTTTTCCTGAAAGGCAGCTGTATGGAGGTGTTATATACATTGTGCTTTTTAAACTATTCCTTTCATATAATATTTTGAAGATAAAATTATTTTATATCTATATAATGTCCTTCAGTAATATGTATGCATTTATAATTTTCTTAATAAAATCTGTATTCAAATGATATTTTCATTTGTTTTAAATTAATAGAAGATATGTTCCCCTGCTTCTTCTTTATACACAAGCAGCAAACAGAGGCGTCCAATAAGAAGAGCACTTACATATGCCCTTTTTGGTTAGTTAATTTTATGGTCTCAGTAGAGTCTCCCTGAAGTCACACAGACTCAGAGTACAGGTACCCAAAAAATGGATGGTCACATGACTTTGTGGGCAGCAGGATCCTGGGATATTCAGGTTCTGTCCCTAATAGCAGGTGACTATAAATAACATATTTGAAACTCCATCCTGAGAATCTTGCACAGACCAGAGTATTCTCCTAAAAAGAAGTTTCAGTTGCTATAAATCAGCATTTTCTAGGGAAAAGTGTTTTATTTAGAAGTTCCCATTCCACTCCTGACATTTACATTTTTGTAATGTGGTAACTTTTCCGTTGCTTGGTGAGTTTGTCCCATCTTAATTCTAGGTTCCACTACTTCATTCATCTGCAGGATTGTTAAAAGAGAGATGAATCTAAATATACAAAACACAGTGTAGGTATGGACAAAAGTATATTTTAGCTGCTTTAACCACATGTAAGCAGGTCACCTAGCTTTCTTGCTTCGGTTGGCAGACTTTGCTCCTGGAGGCGCTCCTCAGCCAGTACTCCCAAAAAACCCACAGTCTTTAAGCAACAAAGAAATAAAACCAAACCCTTCTGCCCTGTCTCAGCACTAGGTGGTGAGCCCTTTGCCTCTGGCCCCTTGTGCAGCAGCCTTCTTGTAGCAAGCAGTTGTGCTCACAACTTGCTACTTCTCTCTCTTCTGAGATTTTAAAAGCTCCTAGCAGAACACTCCCTGCTTATTGAAATGCCCTGCAGCTGGGCTGACTGCTCCTTCTTAAAGGAACACACCACCCTGTTATACCAGGCATCAACTGTAACCACCTATCTCATATACCTACCCCATCCTGTAGTAATGCAGGTGAGCTAAATCTCATCATCTTAAACGATGAAGCAGGGTTAACAGTGGAGGGGTTTCGCATCCTATCAGCTTGTATAGGACAGGCACTGGGTGACAGTAACAAAGGCCAGATCCAACTTCAGGTGTTTTATACCACTTCTCAAATTTAGCTTAAGCCCCCCACCCATAAATCTGGGAAAATAAATTTTAACTGGGTGTTCTAACATGAACAAACTTCGCCACTTGCAAGCAAATGTTAAACAGGTTATTTTAAGGAATGTTATTATAAGGAAAAGGGGGAGCAAGCATAAAACTTAAGGAAAAACATAACTATTAACCTTTAACTATAGCTCAAAAAAGATCACAGTCACCAGCAAACCAACCCACTTAGCCCAGTCAGTTGGGAAAGGACTTTCATCCAGGTCTATGCTCTGGGGGTTTTACTACCTATCCCAGGCAAAGTAGCAAGTGTATAAGAAGACCTGCACCAGAAGCCCTGTTGCTGCATACTGCCAGGGGTTACTGCTCTGCTCTGGGACTCTTACCACCTATACCAGCAAAAGTAGCAAGTGCTGCACAGGGAGACCCACACCAGAGTTGTAGCCACTCATGCTGAGGAGCACTGTTAGCATGTGATGCTTAGGATTGCTGATCTGGCTGCTGCCACTAGAGGTCTTCACTTCTCCAACAACCACTGTTTCAGACTCTGATCTGTTTCAAACCTTGAGCTTAGGGAGTCTCAGCTCTTAGCTCAGCAGTGGGCAATTATTTTGGGCGGAGGGCTGCTTACAGGGTTTTGGCAAGCTGTCAAGGGCTGCATTGGTAGCCCCACCCCTTGACATGTACCCTGCCCCCTGGTCTGCATCTTGTGACTGGAAGTCCTGCCTCCTAACCCCCAACCTTTGCCACCAGAAGTCCCTCCCCTTGCCCTTGCAAATACTCCTTTCAGCTAGGGGTTTTGACATCTCAGAACCAGAAAAATACCAAATTCTAAAAATTAAGCATCTACAACATTCATTAGTTTGATTTCAAAAAGTATTTTTGTCTTGATTTACATGAGTTTGTGTAGAGTACATAGAGATGATTGCACAATAGCTTAAAATGAAGTCTTATGCTTGTATACTGGGGCTGGGGGGCATTGGGAGTGGGTATAGGTTTGTGGGGGGCTGTGAGTGTGTGGGTATGTCTGTGGAGGAGAAAGGTGGGTGTATGGGGTGAGGGAGCATGTGGGGATTTGTGGGGGGCTGTGTGTAGGGAAGGGTGGCTGGGGTGTGAGGAGGTGTGGGTGTGGGGGTCTGCATGTATGGCAGTGTAAGGGGGTTGTGGATGCATGTGTATGGTGGGGTGTGCATGTGGGAGTCACCCTATAAAACACACACACACACACACTCTCTCTCTCCTCCCACACACAGTCTCTCTCTCTCTGTCACACACATACACACACATACACAGTCTCTCCCTTCTACACACATGCACAGCATCTCTCCCTCACACACACAGAGTCTCTCTCTCTCGCTCTCTCTCTCTCTCTCTCACACACACACACACACACACACACACACTGAT